CCCTTTCCCCCCCCCCCCCCCCCCCCCCCGCCACACTTACGCCCAGCAGGGGGCCTCTTCCTATCACTGTCTCCCCGCGCGGTAGCGCCACAGGGCAGCCCCCGTCCGCGGGCGCTAACTGAAATCCTGACATGGCGAGAGGGAGCCGCCCAGAGGGAGGTTTTCCTCCCCCCTCCCCCTTCCGTGCTTCCACTTTCGAGGCCCCGCCCACTTGCGTTGAAAACCTCCCCTAGGCCCGGCCGGGCCTCCCGGAAGCGGTGGTCTCCAACAGCCGCTCCCCCCCCTTCCCGGGAAAACTACATGTCCTAGCATGCCTCGCGGCCGCCGCCCTTCTCCAGCGCATGCGCCCGAGCCGGGGGAGGCAGCCGTCATGTAAACATCCCGGTTGGAATGGGGGCGACTCGTCACGGCGCGAGGCTAGGTAGTGGGGAAGGGGGCGGGGCTTAAGCCGGGGCCGCCGGGTGCCAACTTCGTTTCTGCGTTCTACGCACGCGCGCCTCGCCCCTGGGGCGCGTGGCGGGAGGCAGTTGGGCCAGGGTGGGCCTGTGCCGCGGTCGTTGCCAGCCTCAATGCCTGCCCCTGGTTTGGTGGGGCTGGAGCTTTGGTCTGCTGCTGGCTTAGCGTTTGGTTAGAGCCAGGCCCCAGTGGGACTCCTCCCTGGCCTTTTTCAGCCCTTGCCTATATTACACCATTCACTGCCTAGGCATGCACAATAAAATATAGACTGGCCACCTACGCCAAGCACTCCTTATGCCAAAACAGAAATAGAAAATGTCCATCCAGCTAAAGAGAGCCAGCTGGTTACCACACTGGTGCTCAAAAACATGCAATGATTGCACAGCTGGATTTTCTCACCAGCTTTCATTTGAAGGTGGGGTGGGACCCTTGGGGGTGGGGGGATGTCTCTCTCATCAGACCGATTCTGGAGTCGGGATTAAAGGCAGATGAGCTTTTCAAGGCAAGGCATGCGGCCCAAGGAAGATGGTCTTGGATCCAAAAGCTTGTCTAACTTTTATCCCAATTATGCAGCTGGTCCAAGAAAAGAGAGCGCCCTAAGATTGATGCTCAGTCTCTTGGTTCTGTAGGCTGCATGAGTGGCCTGGAGCTGGTCTATAGGGTGGATGGAGCCCCACATACCAAAAATCAGGCCCTTTGACTCAGCACCTTTACCACCTCCATGTACCTGGTTGGACTGCGGGGTGCTGAGCCCTCCTACCCCCACAAGCTGGGATGGGGTCCAAACACCACTCCGTTTTACCCTTCCGCACTGCAGTTGGGGCCTGGCGCTGCCCCTTCCTGACCTCTCTTCCCCCCCCCCCTCCAGGATTTGGCCCTGGAACTTAACACCACCCTGACTGGCCCTGTCCACTGGGATCTGCACTTGATCTAGCACGCAGGGCCTGGGGCTCCCCATGAATGGCAGCTTGACAACAGAAGAGCAGTGCCGCTGCTCCCGCACTGCTAAGTTTCCAGACCCATGGGGAGGCCCAAAGGCCAGATGACACGGCCAGATCTGCCCCCAGGCTGGGGGTGAAGAACCCCTGCCCCAAGACATCCTTGCCCCTCTCATTTTCTGGACCATCACAGCAACAACACCACTTCTTACTCCTTTGTAATGTGCTGAGAGAAATGTTTGGCAAGAGACAGATCTTCCCCATCCATTCCCTTCCCCTCTACACAGACAGCATCCCTATGCTGTTCCCTCCCAATTAGTTTTCATGGTTGATTTGCAGTGTTGCTAGTTCTTGCCCTTTTCTGTGAAGTCTCATGATTGGAAAGTTACTGAAAGCTGCAGCTCCTGGAGATGTGTGGTGGTATGGGAATAATGCTGTACGTCCAGGCATTACCTTTAGCCATCTTTTTTTAAAGCTTCTAGCCCAACAAAATTCCTGAAGGGGTTTTCTGCAGGAGAGAGTGAGCCTCTTCTCTCTCTCTCTTTTTTCTCCAAATCGTTTAAGTCACCAGTGATGTTTGGGAGCTGAAGAATTAAATTTTGAACATTTGGCTTTGACAATATTGTCACCATCCTCTAGAGATTTGGATATTCATAGGCCACCATTTATATGGTCCAGGTTACCATATATTTTAGTTCCTGGAATAAGCAGCTGGCATAGCAGTGAGCACCTGCTGATTTTTCCCTCCATCTAAAAAAAGCATTTAAGATTTCAGGACTGCCACCTCCAAAAAAGAATTCAGTGGAAGTATTATACAGAGGGAAGGCTAATATGGCTTGCAGAACAGACTTGTAGTCCAAAGAATGCTATGGGATCATTAAGGTCCATAAAGGGTAACCAAATCCTCAATATAGCATCCCAGCTAAAAAAAGATTCCCCATGCATCAAATTCTGTAGCATTCAGAACGTATAATATTAATATGCATGTACCCGAGGTATCAGTGCGACATTATATATGAATAAATCATCTTCTGGTTTTAAAAGGGAAATATAAGTTGCAACACACAATTCATTTCATCAGCCAGTATTGGGAGTGTAATACTTGTTTAACTGAACATTTTCTAAGAGATCAAAGTATAAAGAAACAAAAAATAAATAAAAACAATGAGGGCAAGTGTTGACACCACTTATTATAGGATTAAAATAATATTAATAGTGTTATTCCAGTAACTATCCTTTGTTATTTTCACTGATCATTTTGTAATATTTTCCCTGCTCCCCCAGGTTTACAGATTTGATTGGTCAAGGCCTTAAATTATGCAGAAAACTTCCAAGAGGAACAAGCAGTCGGTTGTTTCTTGTGAAGAACCAACAATCCTTCCTCCCGACAAGAGAAAGAGAGAAAGTCAAGAGAACTTTGTAGATGTTTTGCCTCCAGAAATCAGTTGTAAAATTTTCAGTAAACTTGACATTCAGAGTTTATGTAGTGCAGCAATGACATGCAAGAGCTGGAATCATGCTATTGAGAACAGTGACAATTTGTGGAAAAACCACTGTTTAATTGTAAGAGCTGTCTGTCAGCGAGAGATTGATTGTGATCGAGGAAATGGATATTCATGGAAGGTAAATTTAAGCATTAACATTAGCTTTGGGGAAACTGAAGTGTTTCAGGAATGTGTAACAGAACATAGAGAATTGCATGTAGATCAGTATTTCCAATCCATCCATAATCAATAGCAATCAAAAGTTGTCATCTAGTAGCTCTTTTTTGCCCATGAACAGATCTAATTCTGAAAACTGATAAATCACGAAAACACTTACAAATCATATCTTGGAGATAAAATAAACTCTCCCTTAATCCCCAAGAAGAGATCGTTCAAGAAAAGGAATGTAACACTTGAGACAGGGACACAGTTACTGACTGACACATATCCCATAATTTCACTTCAGTGGAATAAGCCTGCCTGGATATTTTGGGAGTCCTGAAGTCTGCTGGAACAGAGAACACTTCCATGTATACAGCTTCTTATCCAGGTATGGACAGTAGATGGGAAACAACAGCTACAGCTGCTGCCCAGGAGGTTCCGAACTTGCTGAGCAAGCTCAGAGGAGATCAGAAAGGGGATGGATTTAGACACCACCTTCAACCAGGATAGGACAGAAAGAACAGAGTGGATTTTAAGGTCTCCATCTGATTAAAGTCAACTGGCTAGTGCAACTCAGCGAGTAAAGCAGCTTCAGAGCCATCTCCTTTCAGAAGAATTGTTCTAATGGATCAGAATGAGACTAGGGTCAACAGAGACAGGACTTTGAGCAAAATGTGGTCATTCAGTTCTCACAGATACAGAAGCAAAACGTACCACCTCCTTGTAACTGGCCCTGTTAATAAAGCAGATGAAATCCAGGTCTTTCCCTCTTTCATGACTAAAGCTACTAAAATGACAACCCAACCCAGGGCAACACTGTCCCAGTACAATGCAAGTACTGCACACGTGCAGAACTGCACTATACTGGCCATATACTTTCCAGTTTGGGAGAGCAAATATTCAGAGGTCCATTTAACTATACCACAACAGCAGAGTGGGATGCATTTTGAAGAGAGAAAAACAAAACAAACCTTTAAACCATGCCAAAAATCTCAATTTTTCAGATTTCTTCAGGACTCCAAGACAGCCATTTTCAAACCAGGCCATTTGGTAGTTTTATACATAACCATTTCCCAGCCATTTCCAAAGCACTTTTTCCACCACTCTCTAGGTGGTGGTAACAAGCTGCATCCACCACAATAGGTCAGAACTTATTGTGGCAGACAATAGGGTGGGTATATAGAAGAACTTGACCACTTGCTTGAAGAGCATATATAAGAAGAGGTCATTCAAAGTCCTCAAATCCAAACTCAGGACATGTTTATTTCAGGACAAATTGAAAATTATAGAAGCTTAAAGAGGTAGGAGTTCAACCTTCCCCTACAATGTAAGGCTCCTTGTCCCACACTAATCCCCATGCCTTAAGATTCAGCAGGAGAAGTGAGACTGATCCTCACCTTGACTGAGAGACAGAAGTTAGAAGCCTTGATCTGCTAGAGGATAGCAGTATATTTGGACATTAAATTGAAGACCTACACATTTGTATGTATTCTAAATGCTTTTGCTAGTATAAAGCATTAGTTTTCCCAACTCCCCACGCAATATATTCATAGGGCCCTCCCAAGTTGGCTTAGTTTTTGCAGGCCTCTTAATGGTTTCATTTTCTTTTAGATCACGCTACTGAGAAATTACTGGAAGAGTAAAGTGAAGCAGGAATGGCTGAATGGCAAATACAGCAATATTCAGTCAAGCAGTAGCTTGCCAGAAACAAGCATGTATCCTATGGATGCTGATACTTGGGGAGAAATACTGAAAGCAGAACTGGAGAGATGAAAAACCCAACAAGGATCTTGAATATCAAGACCCAGGACAAGACTATTGTAAATGTTTTATTTACACGATTTCCAGGTGTACTTAAATCTTTTTTGAAAGCATGTGCATTTACCTAGCTTTTTTTTTTTTATTTGTACTTTATCCAGACAGCCTTCTAAAGTTTTTTTTACAGCAAAATCCTGAATGAGATGAAATATTCAATGTTCAATATTCAATTTTTTAAATGATCTGCTGTAGTGCTAAACAAAACTTGATTGATTTCTTTTAACATGCACTTTTGAAAGATGAGACATGTTTGCCAGAATTTGTGTTTGGTTTGACATGTATAGTAGAACTAGTGAGAAGAGTAGGACAACACAAGGAGACCCCTTAACATGGCTTCAAAAAAAATTCAAAAGGAATGACTAGAGCAGGTGTAACTAAATGAATTCCTTCAGGCTGAACTTTTTCAGTTTGTAAAAATACAGTTATAATCAGAAAAGGGATCAGGTTCTTGTGCATCAGCAGTCATAGTTGCTGAATTTTATTTAAACACAAACACAATATGATCATAGAAAAGTAGGGCTGGAAGGGACCTCACAAAGTCATCTAATCCAGCCCCCTGCTCAAGGCAGGATCATCCCCAGTTAAACCATCCCAGCCAAACACCTATCCAACCAGCTCTTGAAAGTTTCCAAGCATAGAGATTCCACAGCTTCACTAGGTAGCCTGTTCTTAACCACCCTCATAGTCCATGGGTGATTGAACTTGATTCTACCCTGGCTTATTTTAGGACATCCCTACACAAGTGCAGAGGCTGTTTCAATGTGCTGGAATTCCATCACATTGGAGCAGACTCGGTTAATTGAGTCTGCTGGAGTGTGGCAATTGCCATGCTCCAGCAGCCTCCTGTGTCTTATGCATCAGTGTCCACACACTTAAAAATAGTGGTGGGGGCACTTGAACTAAAGCGCGAATGAATTAACTTCAGTTCAAGCACCCCTACCGCCATTTTTAAGTGCAGGGATGCCAATACAGGTGATGTGGTGGCACTTTAATTAGAGCAGCTCTTGGAGCCACTCCAATTAAAAAGTGCCACCCCCTTCCCCCCAACCTCTGGACCATGTGTAAAAGTCCTCAGATTGCAACATTTCTGTTTAGTGGTTTTCATAGATTTCATAGACATTAGAGCTGGAAGGGAGCTTGGAAGCTCATCGAGTCCAGCTCCCCGCCCAAAGGGCAGGAAGTCAGCTGGGGTCATAGGATCCCAGCAAGATAAACATCCAATTTGCTCTTGAAGGTGTTCAGTGTAGGTGCTTGAACCACCTCCGATGGCAGGCTGTTCCAG